TATTTTTATTTTTATTTTTATTAGTCGTTTTTTTGCCTTTTATTAGGTATTTTATGTAAGATCCCTATAATCATGGGATCACGTAGATAAGATCCCCGTAATCATGAGATCCCGTAGATTAGATCCCCATAATCATGGGATCACGTAGATTTTAGCATATTTTCTATCTTTCTTTGATTTGGTTTCCTTTCTTTATACCCTATTCTTATATATAAATATAGATCTTGGCTCTCAGTTTAAGTAAGCCAAAATCCAAAACTTCTTTTTGGTATCAGAGCAAAACAAAAACCTTTGCCTCCCCATCTTCCTCCCAAACGCTGCCAGCATCTCTCTCACTCTCTCTATTTTCTCTCACCTCCGGCACACCTCCATCTCCTCCCAGCGCCGAGCCCCTCGGGTAACCCTCTATTTTTTACTCCATTTTTAGGAGAATTCCCTAAGGTATTTTTATGATCTAAGGGTCCTTCTAGTGTGTTTTTTTTCTTTTGTGGGCTACCGGTGTTTGTTCGGCAGCATATTTGGAGGAAAGAGCCAATTTTTCCGACCTTGCTTTTCTTTTTCCTCCCTCTTCGACGTGTGGACCAGTCTTATTCTGGTACTATGAGTAATTCTAGTAGCCAAAATGACACTTTATCTTCCAGTCGTGGCCGCACTGCCACAGTAGCCGATACTATTAGTGGGTATACTACTCCACAAATTGTTGCCCCTCCTGCTTCAACTCCTCCCAAACCATCTTTTCAGGACTTCAACCAGTTACAGTCCCAGATTGGTCAGCTTTAGGAGAAGTTCGGAGCCTTATCTACCAGGGCCGACTTTTCTACTCCCACGACTATTATAGCTACAAGTACTCCTTCTGCTTATCATGCTAAAGTGGGAAAACCTACTTGAGTTCTGGATTCCGGAGCCAATGAACATGACTGGTGAGTTGTCATTTTTTTCTACTTCTATTACCCCTGTTAATCAGGCTGTTAGTCTAGCTGATGGGTCAACCACCATTATTCGTAGCAAAGGAGAAGTTCATATATCCCCTGATATTATTTTGTCATTTGTTCTTTATGTTCCTAACTTTGCATTCAATCTTCTCTCTGTTAGCAAACTTGCCAAATCACTAAATTGTGCAGTGATTTTCTTTCCTCATTACTGTGTTTAAAGGACCGGTGTTCGAAGAGGATTTTTGGCAGGGAATATGAGCATGATGGACTCTACTACTTTAGGGATCCTCCACCGACACCTCGTCCACTTACTTCAAGCCTTCAAGCCTCTGTTCTTCCAGTTTCCAAGTCTTATGATTTTTCTTTTCAGACTTTAAGTTTATGGTATGCTCGCCTTGGGCATGTAAACTTTCAGTATTTATGTCTACTTTCCCCTTCATTAATAACGGTTTGTGAGGATAATAAGTTTTAATGTGAAATTTTTGAGCTTTCTAAACATACTAGAACCAGTTATATTTCTCATATGCATCGTGCACCTGATATGTTTGATCTCATACATTATGATGTGTGGGGTCCTCCTGTTACTGCTTTTTCGGGGCATGGTATTATGTCACATTCATTGATGATTATTGCCGTTGCACATGGGTATATTTACTTAAAAAGAAATATGAAGTTTTTCCCTTGTTCACTCAATTCGTCTAAATGATCAAAACTCAATATAAAACTGTTGTTAGGAATATTAGGTCTGACAATGGTCGTGAATATGTTTCTAATGAGTTTCGGTCTCAACTTAACCAACAAGGTATTCTTCATCAGCTTACTTGCCCATATACCCCTGAACAGAATGGTGTTGCAGAGCATAAAAATCACCAGCTAATGTCAGTTGTTCGATGTCTTTTAAGTGGTATGAATGTGCCAAAGTCATACTGGCACATGGCGGTTCTTACAACTACTTTTCTCATTAATCATATCCCTAGTAGAGTCTTAAATGGTAAGGCCCCCTTACAAGTGCTTCAGCCTGATATTACTATTTTTTTCATCATGCCTCAGGTATTAAGATGTACATGTTTTGTTCAGAATCGTAGCCCTTCTCATACTAAACTTGATAGCAAGGCCATTAAAAATGTATCTTTTTAGGATACTCTTCTGTGTCAAAAGGTTACCGATGTTATAATCCAGACTAATGAATCACTCTCTTGATGACACCATTCATGAGCATACCCCTTTTCTGGTTCTAACACTATCTTGCAGGAAACTTCTACTCTCGATCGAGAGGCTTCTCCTCTTGCTCGTCCTCTTCTTATTTTTCAATAAGAGTCTTCTCTTGTGGTTTCCTCACCCCCATTGCAGGTATATTCATGCCGCCCTTGTGCTCTGCCTCCACTGCCTTCATCCTCCTTAGATTCAAGTTCAGGTATATATCTCTCTCCTTTACATTGCCCTGACCCTATTTTTGTTCCTGTTCCCGAGTCTCGGTATCCCACTCGGGACCGCAAACCCCTTGCTCGATTTGGATTCGCTTGTAGTATGATCATCCTATTTCGCAGTATATCTCTTATGATGGTCTTTCAGGACCAAGCCTTTCTAGGCAAACTTGATTCCATTTCCATTCCCAGAAAGTTGTCTGAGGCTCTCCCGAATCCCAATTGGATGTCTGCTATGAAGATTTAAATGGATGCTTTGCAGCATAATGAAATATGGGAGCTTGTATCTCTCCCTCCTAGTGAAAAGACTATTGGTTGCAAATGGGTATTCAGTGTTAAATATCTGGCTGATGACTCTATTGATCAGTATAAAGCCCGTTTGGTGGCTAAAGGGTTTACTTAGATTCCTGGTAAAGACTATAATGATACCTTCGCTCCAGTGACTAAATTAACCTCAGTTCGTTTGCTTGTCTCCCTAGCTGCCTCTCACAATTAGCCTCTTCATCAGCTTGATGTGAAGAATGCTTTCCTTAACGGTGATCTTCTTGAGACTATTTACATGGATCCTCCACCCGGTTTTCGGGCTGAGGGGGAGTATGCTGAAAAGGTTTGTCGATTGCGGAAGTCTTTGTATGGATTAAAACAATCTCCCAGAGCTTTGGTTCAGCTGCTTCAGTGATGTAAATCTATCCATGGAGTTTGTTAGATGTCATTCTAACCATACATGTTTTATCCACCGTTCCTCCATTGGTCGATGTATCATTCTGCTTATCTATGTTGATGATATCATCATTACTGGCAATGACATCCCTGGGATTGCTCAAGTAAAGCTTCAATTAGCTAAAACTTTTGATGTGAAAGACCTTGGGCAACTCAGATATTTTTTGGGAATTGATGTTGCTAGATCTAAGCAGGGTATTTCTTTATCGCAAAGGAAGTAGTTCTTGGATCTTCTTCGAGACACGGGTACGCTTAGGTGTAAAACTTCTTCCATTCCTATGGATCCTAATCTGAAGATCTCGGCTGAGTCTGGAGATCTCCTTTCTGATCCCTCGTAGTATCAGCGCTTGGTAGGAAGATTGATTTATCTTACCAACACCCGTCCTGATTTGGCTTTTGCGGTTAGTGTTGTGAGCCAATTTATGCATGCTCCTCGTACAACTCATATGGATGAAGTATATCATATTCTTCGATATCTTAAGTCCTGTATTGGACTTGGATTATTCTATTCTTCTAGCAAGCAGGTTGGGCTATCCTGTTTCAGTGATGCAGACTATGTTGGGTCCAAGATTGACAGACATTCCACATCTAGTTTCTGTACTTTCTATTGAGACCATCTTATATCCTGGAAAAGTAAGAAACAACCTATAGTTTCGAAATCTTCAGCAGAGGCTGAGTATCGTGCCATGGCTCAGGGTACTTGTGAGATTCTCTGGCTTCGATCTTTCTTGGAGGAGCTAGGGCTAGGTGAAAAACAGTCCTCGACTTGTTTTGTGATAATAAGTCAGCCATCATGCTTGCTTCAGATTTTGTTCTTCATGAGAGGACTAAACATATAAAGGTGGACATCATTTTATCAGAGAGAAGGTTCGTTCGGGAATTATCAAGCCATGCTTTGTTCGTTCCTCTAATCAGTCGGCCGATGTGTTCACCAAATTTGTTGGTCCATCTTTGCTTCATTCCTCGATTATCAAGCTGGACTTGATTGATATCTTCACTCCAACGTAAGGGGGAGTGTTGAAATATCTTTATTATTATTATTTTTATTTTTTATTAGTTGTTTTTAACCTTTTATTAGGTGTTTTATGTAAGATCCCTATAATCCTGGGATCACGTAGATAAGATCCCCATAATCATGGGATCCCGTAGATAAGATCCCCATAATCATGGGATCACGTAGATTTTGGCATATTTTCTGCCTTTCTTTGATTTGGTTTCCTTTCTTTGTACCCTATTCTTGTATATAAATATAGATATTGGCTCTCGGTTTGAGTAAGCCAAAACCCAAAACTTCTTTTTAGTCAAATAAGAATTATAAGATAGTCAAAGAGAAGCAACTTGTCCTGCTCATACCTAAGTTATGTAAAGCTAGTCCAGCTTCTAATATCTAACACTAAGCTTCATTCGTCCTTAACTGGTAGCAAACAATACAATCTAAAATAAATGCACACGTCAGGAGATTTATGCAAGTCCATGCTTCTGTAACCAACTTCTACATGTATTACTGCAGGCAGACCGGCTGCAGAGGGGCAGCACTATGGGGTTTGACAGTTCGAGCATGATTCTTTATGTCCTCTCTGGAAAATTTAATTCCAATATCCCTTCATAATCATCTTGCGTCAGAAATTATAGAATGGTTCTTTAACTCTTGTTCTTTGAAAACCTCAAAAGAAGGCAATTGTTTGGGTTATATACAACACATGAGAGGTCATTAGCTTATATCAGAAGGGCACTCGCCTCCGTCTAGAAAATATTTTCCTCTAAATAAATTCAGCTAAGTTATCATGTTGTCTTAATAGATGGTCGTCATGATTCCCTGTGACAAGAGAAAATGCTGACCAAACAGCTGCAAAGCCAAAAGGTCAGCAACCATATTTCATAATACTCTTAATCATCACATAATAGAAAAATATGCAAGTCATACCTTCAGTTTCACCTGTTTGATTGTTGACTTTATCCTTGACCTGTATGAAGTCCTATCAGGAGTGTTACAAAAAGGATTTCTGTCAAGTAATCACTTAAATAAATTGACAGAAACCTACGACAATGAGGTTTTTTAAAAGAAGACAACAGAAATCTACATCTTGCTAAATATACAACAGCATAAGCAAACCAATTCAAACATAGTATTGAAAGTACATTAATAGAAGTTTAATGTATGTAGGTATGAATGCTACATTCTTGATTTTGATTCCCCAAGAAGAGAGGAAGCTTCAAGATTGCTGATCTAAGGCCTATATTTTTATGCAACATCATGTACAAGATTGTTACTAAAGTGTTGGGTGTTAGGCGCTAAATGTTATACATTTTAGCCCCTTAACTTCCATGTTTTATTCTCTTAGTAGTAGTTTTATTTGTGATTTTACATTGTTTTATTGTTTTTATTTATTTCAGGGCTTTAATTGTAATATCAGTCAAGACCAGTGATTTCGAGCTTTAAAAGATAACATCCGTTGGACCGAGCAATGATGAAGATCCAAGTCTAATTAGACTTAGAAAAGAGTCCAAGAGAAGCCACAAGTTGATGAGAATGGAAAGAAGAAGAAAAGGAAGAATCCTTCTCCAACTAGTTCTCCAACTAGGAAACTTTCTCCAAAATTGGTAACTTGAACCCATTTTGGTAATCTATTTGTCTCTCTCTCCTCGAGTGTCAAAACAAGTCAATTCCCGCGCAAGTTGAAAGGAAATTTGAAAAGCTACAATTTTGTATTTCACGAGGATTTCATAAAATAGTCGTTTACCTTGTCAAAACTGGACTGGAAGTCTGTACGAATTTTGGAGTCCTTGTTTGACAAAGTTTTCATATGCCTTCTATATGAAAAAGGGAACTTTGTGGCTAATCTTCTCTTATTTAAAGAGAGTTCTCTACATCATTAGGGGCATCACATACAGAGGAGCTTGAGGCTGATATCAGTGAAGAAGCATTCAGAAGAAAGAAGAGATCAATCCATGGCGGTGAAGATGTCTTCCTAAACCATGAAGAATTCCATTCCAAAGATGCTAGGCTAAACGCTTTGCTAGGGCTGTGATGTAACCCTCGCTTAGAACCACTGGTTTGATTGTAATTTTTTTTTTTTTTTTCTTAGTTGGTACTCACACACACATGCTTCTACTGAAACTTGAATCCCTGACCTCCCTTCAGGAGGTAAGGGCTTGATACCGTTAGGCCACTAGTTTGATTGTAGTTATTTATTGGAGAACAATTATTATTCATGCATGATTGTGTAACCTATAGGATTTTTAATTGACTTTTCAATAAAAATAGGTTTTAAAGTTTTAATTCAATTACAAAGCGTTTTTGTATCTGTCTTAGATATTTGAATCTTGTGATTGAACACAACTCATTCACTTCTTGTAGTTGTGAATGAGATAGTTATACAATGGTTTTTCTCTAAATATAATATTAGGGATTTGATGCATTATGCCTAGAAAAGATGCACCATAGAGTAAAGTAGTTAGGTAGATGGTTTATGCTAATCGAAGATAGTCCATGTTTAGTGGTGCGACGTTAGTGGTGAAGTCATGCCCCTAGTTTCTCTCTCTCTGATTTTCTCTCTCTAAATTAATCATGGCTTTCTGTTTAATTTTATACTTAGTTCATCTAGATTAAAACCAATTCAAACTTGTTTATCTTAATTCAAGTTAATTGAGAATTTGAGAAATCTGTTAACAACTTCATTAACACAAGTCCCTTGGGTACGAAACCCTTACAAGTAAGCCCTATCTGCAAAGATTCGTGCGCTTGCGAGTGGTTACATATAAATCTTACAACAAGTTTTTGGCGCCGCTGTTGGGGACGTGTTTTAGTTCTTGACAGATTATATTAAATTCTACAATTAATTTCAATTAGGATCTTAGTTTAGGATTTTATTTTATTTTATTTTATTGTGATTCTATTGACTATTTAAGGTGACAGTACATGTTTGGAAGACGTTCTTTGTCACTCCCTAAGCTTTCGTTCGACCCAGAAATCGAAAGGATTCTCAAACACTTGAAGAAAGATTTTGGAGGCCTTGAAAAGGAAAAGATGGTGGATGATAGGGAAAACAACTGGGAGTTGCAAGTGGAACCAGGATCACTATGAACCAGGTGCATATAACTCTTCATCTACAGTTCGATACCCTGAAGTGAGAGCCAATCACTACGAAATTAAGGCCAGTACTCTCCAGTTACTGCCATCTTTTTACGGCCTATCAAAAAAGGATCCATGCCGGCACTTAGATGTAGATGACTTTGCAGAGGTGTGTAGAAAAATAAAGATCCAGAGCTTTGACGATGATGTACTCAAGCTACACCTTTTCTCCATTTCATTGAAGGACAAGGCGAAAAAGTTTAATTCCTTGCCAGCAAACTCCGTCACTACATGGGCTGAGTTGAGACAGGAGTTTTTGAGTAAATAGTTCCCCATGGTGAGAACTACTCAATATTAAGATGCCATTACCCATTTTGCTCAAGGGCCTGAGGAGCCTTTTAATGAGGCTTGGGATAGATTTAGAGACCTCCTTCGAAAGTGTTCACATCACGACATGCCAAAATGATAGCTTGTCAACTTCTTTCATAAGGGGCTCAATGAGACACAAAGGTGTATCGTGGATGCATCGTGTGGTGGAAATTTTATGTTGAAGAGTGAAGAGGAGGTATGGCAACTCTTCGAAAATATATCTGATAACTCTACACAACATGTCTTACCTCCAGTAGTAAGACCCCCTACCATATTAAGAGAGCAGAAAGTGTGAATGAAGCAGGAGTAAATCAAAGGCTAGTGAGCTAGATAGAGGCATTGACCAAGAAAGTTGAACAATTGATGACGTCACAGTCAAATTCTACTCCTCATTCAACTGATGCTCAAGGCTTTGATGTGTGCTCTTTCTGTTCCAGTCCTACTCACCATGTGTCCATTTGTCCAAGTGCAGCTCAGTGTTAAGAAATTCCACAAGAGCAAGTTAATGTTGCCTCGGAGGTAATATATTTTCAAACACTTACAATCTAGCTTGGAGAAACCATCCTAACTTCTCATGGAGAAGTCCAGCCACAGGAACATCAGCTCCTCCACCTCAAGTACCTCAGGTACAAGGCAATTTTCAATCTCAAGTTTAGACTTCAAATCCTCCAGGGTTCACTCCTATGAATGCCTTCGGTCAACCGCAACAATTCTTATCAATGCTCGAGGCAATGATAGCAAAGCAGTTAGAGCCAACTAATCAACTTGTGCAATCTCATTCTCAATCCCTTGCCAAGTTAGAAACTCAAGTTGGCCAACTAGCCCTAGCCTTGAATAGAAGAGAAGAAGGCAAGCTTCCTAGTCAACCAATGGCTAATCCAAGAGGTGTGCGTGTAATTGATGACATTACTGGCCAAAAGGTTCACCATGCACGGGTGCAAGCAATCACTACTCTGAGAAGTGGGCGAAAAGTTGAAAACAAGGTGGAATAAGAGGAAGCAAAGAAGGATGAAAATTGGAAGAAAAAACTTGAAGAAAAGAAGGAGCGTAATGAAAAAGCACAAGAAGCACCTCCGCCATCTCCTGAGCAGAAGCATGCAGCTGTACCATTCCCTCAGAGACTACAAGAAACATAAAAAATAGCGAAGCAAGTAGGCAAACTTCAGGACATAATGGAGATATTCAAGCAGGTAAAGATTAATCTCCCATTGCTTGATGCAATTCAGCAAATTCCAGCTTACGCCAAATTTCTAAAAGATATGTGTACTCAAAAGAGGCGTTCAAATAGCCATATTCCTAAGAAGGTGCTACTAACTAAACAAGTGAGTTCCATAATCCAGCACTGCACTGCTCCAAAGTTCAAAGATTTAGGCGCTCCAACAATTTCATGCACAATAGGGAACCATCAAGTGGAGCGAGCCCTTCTAGATTTGGGTGCAAGTGTAAACCTTCTTCCTTATTCGGTTTACTTGCAACTTGGATTAGAAGAATTGAAGTCTACTTCAGTTATTCCCAATTGGCGGATAGGTCAACCAAGCAGCCTCGGGGATCATCGAAGATGTGACAAAATAGATAAATTTTGTAGAATAGTTTAGATTTTTTTCTTTGTATTTAGGATAGGTTATTTTAGTTTTTATTTTATAGTCTAGGATAGCTTGTTTTAAAATTTTATATATATATATATATATATATAATTTAAAGCAGGTGGGCGAAGAGCAGGTCCGGGCGATCGTTCGCCCGGCCTGGGCGACCGTCGCCTGGTGTAAAATATATATATATATATATATATATATATATATATATATATATTTTTTATTTGGGCAGAATTTTTTTCCTCTTCTCCTATCCAATCCTTAACCTTCTCCACTTCTACCTCCTTTCACACCCCTTCTACATCTACCTATATATATATACACACCCTTATATATCTATCTTCTTCCAATCTTTCAACTTCCCATTCACCAATTTATCTCTTCCTAAACCCATTACACCCACTTTCCACATAAACCCACTTTCCTACCCCCATTAGAAATCCTTCCTTCACCATACCCACTTTCCTTTCTTCCTCCTTCCCTACCTTATATATCCCTTGATTATTCCTCTACTTGGCATTCACAATAACCACTTTCCTTACTATTAGTTTATTGCTAATCTTTTGTGCAAAGCATCCATATTAGGTGACCCAACTCAAAGCTGAAGTTCACAAAATTCGTCAAGAACAGAGGACGATTCGTCAGTATCAGAGGTCCGTGATGGACATGATGCGTGCTCTTAAGATTCACAATGGGCTTAATCCCAATGCTCCGCCGCCTCCTTTCTAGCTATCCTGCCAGGTGCTTTTGTTCTTTGTTTTTCTTTTCTTAATAGTTGTTATTTTTCTTGCTTTTACATTTTGCCCAGTGAGGACACTGTCCAATTCAAGTTTAGGGGCATGACTCTAGTTTTACAATAATAATACTAATACATAAATAAATAAATAAAATCAATTCTTTTTCTTCGGCATATTGATTTTAATTCATGTATTTGAGAACTGTG